GTTTGTGCAGAATAAGCCTCTTACACAGGGGTCCCCAACCCCAGGGCTGTGGCCCACTCCCGGGCTGTGGCCTCTTCAGCTGCAGGAGTGGCTGGCTTGGAGTGCACACGCAGCTCAACTTCTATGAGCAGCAGGCCCAGCGGGCACTAGTGCGCATGCTCGCCATCCAGCTGCTTGCACAAGGGGTACGTGCGCACGTGCGCACCAGCCAATCACTCTTGCGGCCTGCTTACCCTCTCCCTCCCCCCCCCAGCTGGGCTGCCAAGGTTGGGGACTGCTGCCCTTGCAGACTCAGACTGAGTTTCCATTCTGCCGTCCCTTGTTTATTTTTCATTTATTTATTCATGAGGTTTTTATCCCGCCTCTCTTATTTTTTTTAATAAACAACTCAAGGGGGTGAATAATGCTCCTCCTTCACCTATTTTTCCCACCACAACAGCCCTGTGAGGTAGGTTGGGCTGAGAAAGAATCTCCCCAGCTGGCTTTCGTGCCTAAGGCGGAACTAGAACTCCCAGTCACCTGGTGCTCAGCCCAAATTCTCCCAGCTGGCTTTCGTGCCTAAGGCGGGACTAGAACTCCCAGTCGCCTGGTGCTCGGCCCAAATCCCCCCAGCTGGCTTTCGTGCCTAAGGCGGGACTAGAACTCCCAGGCGCCTGGTGCTCAGCCCAAATTCTCCCAGCTGGCTTTCGTGCCTAAGGCGGGACTAGAACTCCCAGTCGCCTGGTGCTCAGCCCAAATTCTCCCAGCTGGCTTTCGTGCCTAAGGCGGGACTAGAACTCCCAGTCACCTGGTGCTCGGCCCAAATCTCCCCAGCTGGCTTTCGTGCCTAAGGCAGGACTAGAACGCCCAGTCACCTTAACCACTACACAAAACTACTAATTTGTTACACCCCAGTTGATGATTGCAATAATGAGAAGGACCCTCTTGGATTGGTTACCTGTCTCCCTACTTCACTGTTGTGCAGATGCATCAGCTTATTGGCTTGTGATCCTGATTTTTTCATCTTCATGGGAGCATCTGAAAATTTGGACCCCATGACAAGACCATAGTTGAGGTTCTCAGCACATCCTCCCCAGCGATACCCAGGTCCAGGTGTCTCACCTGGGATGGGACCACAGGAGCAGCCGGGGAGCTCCCCGGTGGTGCAGGCTCGGGCGATGGTGTGGCTGATGGCTGCAGCGGAGAGAGCATACACAAAAGCTGACTCCCTGGTACCTGGGAAAAAGAGACCGACAACATCACACACCGTTCTGTAGGCCAGGGCTTTTCAACCTTTCCACCCATTGTACCACTTTTAGGATATGGCAACGTCCGAGTACCACCAGTCGCCCAGCAAGGTGTCAAAAAGTTGATGACCCCCCCAAAAAAGGGAAAAAGTGATAAAGTACAGGTAGTCCTCGACTTACAACAGTTCACTTAGTGACTGTTCAAAGTTACAATGGCACTGAATAAAGTGCCCCCCAAGCCACAGCCGAGCAAGACACCTGCCTGCCCGCCCGGCCGCGCTCTTCCTCTGTCCGAGGTTTTCATTGTTGTGAGCATTTCTGTTGAGGATTGGCAGTGGGGGTGGGGTGGGGGGGTGTTTGGTTTTTATTCCCCCCGTCTGCTGGGTGGTTGCAGCAGGTTTTGGTCACTTCACATGACCCTGGGACACTGTGGCCGTCATGAATATGAATCAGTTGCCAAGCATCTGAATGTAAATCACAAGACTCTGGAGATGCTGCAACATTCCAGCTGATCGGTGCTTCTTCTGGGCTCAGCAGAAGGGCCAGGATCAGTGCTGCTTTCCAGCTGATTGGTGCTTCTTCAGGGCTCAGCAGAAGCACCAGGATCAGTGCTGAGCTCCAGATGGATCCTGGCGCTGATCCTGACGCTTCCGCTGAGCCCTGATAGCCCCGAAGCGTCGATCAGCTGGAAAGCAGCACTGATCCTGGCGCTTCCGCTGAGCCCTGACAGCCCTGCAGCTCCAGCCGTCTCTCGCTCAGGCTTGTGGGGTGCTGCCACTGGTTCAGCTCATTCCCTTCCCCCGCTACCACTTTTCTAGGATGGTCGCATATCACCTGCCAGGTGCCAATGTACCACAGGTGGTACCCGTACCACTGGTTGAAAAGCCCTGCTGTAGGCCAGCGGGCCCCGACCCTTCCCACGTGGTGGCCAGGCCTGGCCCACACTGAGCAGAGGAGGGGCAGGCGAGGGGCAGGGGCATGTGTGCGTGCGCGCACGACTCCATTTGTGCGAGCAGCGTGCAAGGGGGCCCTCCACTTGCACGAATGGAGCTTTGCATGCGTGCGTTCTCAATGTCTAGAAAACTCGGGGAAGACATTCGCCCCTTCTTTCCGCTCACCTCTCTCCAAATCCAGGAAGTAATTCGGGGCACGCTCAATGGACGAGCAATTCCACCGCATGTCGGAAAAAGCCTGGCGGCACGTCTTGATGACCTCCCGGGCAGCCTGGATAATCGTCTGCATCAGCTCCAGATTGCTGCGACAGAGCTGCACTTGAGAAACGACCAGCCCTTCCAGCTGCTTGCAGTGCTGGGTCTGGTTCAAGGCCAACGCCGAAGGAGTCTTGAACAAAGCTCTGAAAAGGAAAGGAGACCACCCGGTGAGCCGGCGGCAAGGACAGCCTCGACTGGAAGAAAAAACGCAGCAGGGAGAGAGTAGGAACTGGAGGGAGAAAAACGGCAAGGGAGGAGAGGAACTTGGCCCTTGGAAGAAAGATGCAAGATTCTGTTCGTGTAACCTTATAATCAAGCCAGAGCTAGCAGCACTGAGCGTGCTTCTTTTCCTGGACTACCTTGCAAGGCTGACATCAATCTTGCAAGGGTCAACGTCCATTTCTCCCCATCTCTTTTACAGCCTAAGAAACCAGGAAGGGTCCTTCCTAAGATGTTTGCCACACCCATGAAAGCCAGCTGGGTGACTTTCGGCCAATCGCCAGGAGACGATGAGTTCTAGTCCCGCCTTAGCCATCAAAGCCAACCGGGTGACTTTGGGCCAATCACCAGGAGACAGGGAGTTCTAGTCCCGCCTTAGCCATGAAAGCCAGTTGGGTGCTTGTGAGCCAATCATCAGGAGACAGGGAGTTCTAGTCTTTCCTTAGCCATGAAAGCCAGCTGGGTGCCTGTGAGCCAATCACCAGGAGACGGGGAGTTCTAGTCCCACCTTGGCCATCAAAGCCAGCTGGGTGACTTTCGGCCAATCACCAGGAGACGATGAGTTCTAGTCCCACCTTAGCCATGAAAGCCAGTTGGGTGCCAGGAGACAGGGAGTTCTAGTCTTTCCTTAGCCATGAAAGCCAGCTGGGTGCCTTTGGGCCAATCACCAGGAGATAGGGAGTTCTAGTCCTGCCTTGGTCTTGAAAGCTAACTGGGTGATTTTGGGCCAGTTTTTCTCTCTCAGCTGAGCCTACCTCACAAAGTTGTGGTTGTTGTGGGAAAAATAGGAGGAAGGTGTATTAAGTATATTGACCACTTTGAGTTAGGCAAGATAAAAACCCAATCTAATAATCTAACTTCAGACTAATCAATCTGATCACTGCGATGTAAAAAAGATGCTGAGACTCTAGAAAGGGTGCAGAGAAGAGCAACAAAGATGATCAGTGGACCGGAGGCTAAAACATATGAGGAACGGTTGCTGGAATTGGGTATGTCTAGTTTAACGAAGAGAAGGACGAGGGGGGACATGATAGCAGTCTTCCAGTATCTCAGGGGCTGCCCCAAAGAAGAGGGAGTCAAGCTATTCTCCAAAGCGCCTGAAGGCAGGAGAAGAAGCAACGGATGGAAACTAATCAAGGAGAGAAGCAACCTAGAACTAAGGAGGGATTTCCTGACAGTGAGGACAATTAACCAGTGGAACAACCTGCCTCCAGAAGCGGTGAATGCTCCAACACTGGAAGTTTTTAAGAAGAGACTGGACAGCCATTTGTCCGAAATGATATAGGGTTACCTGCCTAAGCAGGGGGGTGGACTTGATGACCTCCAAGGTCCCTTCCAACTTTATTATTATTATTATTAATCTAATCAACATGTTCTCCTTGTATACGTTCGTCAGTTACTTTGCAAACTTCCGTTCCTTCGTCCAGCTTTTTTATAGGCTTAGAATATAATGCTAGAGATAGATAGATAGATGATAGATAGATGATAGATAGATAGATAGATAGATAGATAGATAGATAGATAGATAGATAGATAGATAGATAGATGATAGATGGATGGATGGATGGATGGATGGATGGATGGATGGATGGATGGATGGATGGATGGACGGATGATAGATGAAAGATGGATGGAAGGATGGACACAGACAGATATAGATATAGATATAGATATAGATAGATATATAGATATATAGATATATAGAGATAGAGCTAGAGATAGAGAGATAGAGATAGAGAGAGATATAAGATATATTAATATATATATTGCGGTTACCGTGGTTTAATAACCTCTGGCAAGTTTAGCCTCCTTTTTTTGCCAAATTTTAAAAATATAATAATAATCAGAAGTTGGAAGGCTTTGAGGAGGCGAGGATGGTGGGTCCTAGCCCGAAGGAAGACTGCTTGGGTTCCGGATTCCAATTCCTCCGAGAAGGAATTGGAAAAGTTTCCTGATTTAATAAAAGCGTCTGATTGAAAGCTTCTCTAATCCAGGGCTTTTAACTGAGGCCATTAAATCCATTTACTTCTGCCATGAGATCCATCCATTAAGGACCACCGTCCACTTGGAGGCCCGCCGGTTGGAATTGAGCCAGTTCCACATGGCCAGATGGAGGCTCTGCAAGCATGATGGGATTGAGGTGAAGGTCCTTTTGCAACTGGGACCCCTAAAGGCACTTCGGATGAGCAAACATTGGAACGGTTGACCTCTCTGTGAAATGAAACCGTAGCCGCTGTCTGTGAGTGGACCAAGAAATGTTAACATTTTCCTAGCACGCTCCCAAATGACCCGAATTGTTGTCAGTTCTTGCCAGAATTTCCATTTTCCATTCCAACTTCATTACAAAGATGACTTCTTTTCTCTAGGGAGAACAAATGGCTGATTGGCAGGCCCTAAAGATGACTCTCCACTGGATAGGAGGAGATTATTTTTCCACCCTGATCTGTTTCTAACAAAATGAAATTCCTATCTATCTATCTATCTATCTATCTATCTATCTATCTATCTATCTATCTATCTATCTATCTATCTATCTATCCATCTCTATCTCTATGTATCTCTCTCTATCTCTATCCATCCATCTCTATATCTGTCTGTCTCTGTCTGTCTGTCTGCCTGTCTATCTATCATTTATCCATCCATCCATCAATCTATATTTGTCTGTCTGTCTGTCTGTCTGTCTGTCTGTCTGTCTGTCTGTCTGTCTGTCTGTCTATCTATCTATCTATCTATCTATCTATCTATCTATCTTTCCATCCATCCATCCACCCACCCACCCACCTATCCATCCATCCATCCATCCATCCATCCATCCATCCATCCATCCATCCATCCATCATCATCATCATCATTATCTATCTATCTATCTATCTATCTATCTATCTATCTATCTATCTATCTATCTATCTATCTATCTATCTNTACAGTATTTGTTTGACATTGCATTCTGTTGCTGGCCCTCACAGCTTTCATTGCCTAGATTTATTTCTGTTGCAAAAACTACCGTGACTGATTTGGAAATCTCAGGCAAAAAAAAAGTTTTAAAAGTACTCTACCCGTTCCATGTTCATAGAATCACGGAATCATAATATTATAGAATCATAGGGACCTTGGAGGTCTTCTAGTCCAACCCCCTTGCCCATGGCAGGTGTCCTTATTCCATCCTGGACAAATGTCCATTCTTTTCTTGAAAACCTCCAGTGATGGAGCACCCACAACTCCAGAAGGCAAGCTACTCCATGGGTTAATTGTTCTTACTGTCAGGAAATTTCTCTTTAGTTCCAAGCTCGATCTTCTCCTCATGAGCTTCCGTCCATTGCTTCTTCCCCTGCCCTCTGGGGCTTTGGAGGATATTGCCTCTCAAGTACTGGAAGACACTTGTTCCTCCTTAATCCTTTGTTGTTGTTGTTAGGCTAGGCACACCTAGTTACTTTTAACTAGTCATCATATGATTTGGCCTCCTAGCAATGATATAATGGAACTCAACCTCTCTCTAGAGAAATGAAAACCATTTGTGTGTGTGTGTCTGTCTCTCTGTGTTTTGTCTCTTTGTGTGTATATTCACAAAGTTTTGGGTCCCATCTTCCTGTCTCTCTCTCTCTCTCTTATCTGTCTGTCTGTCTGTCTGTCTGTCTGTCTGTCTGTCTGTCTGTCTGTCTGTCTGTCTGTCTGTCTGTCTGTCTGTCTATCTATCTATCTATCTATCTGTCTATCTGTCTACCACCTATCTATATCTATCCATCCATCTTCCCTATCTATCTATCTATCTATCTATCTATCTATCTATCTATCTATCTATCTATCTATCTATCTGTCCATCCGTCCATCCGTCCATCCATCTTATCTATGTATCTATGTATATGTATCTGTCTGTCTGTCTGTCTGTCCGTCCGTCCGTCCGTCCATCCATCCGTCCATCCATCTATCTCTATGTATCTATGTATCTATGTATCTATGTATCTATGTATCTATGTATCTATGTATCTATCTATCTATCTATCTATCTATCTATCTATCTATCTATCTATCTATCTATCTATCTATCTATCTATCTATCTATCATCTATTTATATCTATCATCAAATTATCTATCTATATCTATATGTATCTATCCATCCATCTTATCTGTCTTACTCTGTTTGGCTGTCTATCTCTAACATTTCTTTCTATATCTCTGTCTGCCATCTATCTATCTATAGATCTGTCTATCATCTATTTCTCTCTTTCTCTTTATCTATCTATCTATCTATCTATCTATCTATCTATCTATCTATCTATCTATCTATCTATCTATCTATCTATCTATCTATCTATCTATCTATCTATCTATCTATCTATCTATCTATATCTACTATTTAAAGAGGGGATCCAAACCTTTGTAAAAGTTACAAAAAAGATTTGGGATGTTCCAAGCCTTTTATGCAAGACATCCCAATGAGGGAGATTGACTGGTGGTTGGGAAGAGAAACATCGTGCAGTGTGAAAGCAAACCAAGAAATCCAGCTAATTCTTGGGTTTCACTGTTTCTCATCGAATGAGGCGTGCTTAAAAGAGCTGGCCCGCAGTGGATATATTCAGCCTCCGATCGTCTTTCAATGTTGAGCGTTTTTGTTTCTAAACTTTTTAATAAGAAACATCATTTCTATAAACCGGTCTTCTCTGATCTAGAGGCTTGGGACTATGACCCCATCCTTCCCATCATGCTGGTTGGCAGTGATGAGAATTGTAATCCACTGTGTCTCGAGGGCACCAGGAGAAAGAGAGACACGCATTGCGGCTTGATGGGAATTGCCAAAAAATTGCCAAGTAGCCTCAGATGTACCTAAGAATACTTTTGGTCAGACCGTATTTTGGAAAGCAAATGGACTTGTCATCTCTGGATTGAAATGTTCAGGGTTTTTTTGTGCTCCTCTGAGTTTTAAATGTATTTATTCGTCATATTTTTACAACTGCCAGCCTCACCATAAACGTGAGTCTAGGCCAGTGATGGCGAACCTTTTAGAGACCGAGTGCCCAAACTGCAACCCAAACCCCACTTATGTATCGTTGGGTGCTGGGTGGGTGTGGCCCATTGGGTGGGTGTGGTCCATTGGGTGGGCATTGCTTCAGTGGTAACAGCAGACTGGATGGGACTAAAAAGTTCAATCAATCAATTCCAACTTTGCAGATATCTTTTTTTTC